AACAAAAGTCAGTATAAGGATGGGGAACCTACGAAAGGAATAGACAAGGAGCGGGTTTGAAGAAAACATCTCACAGAACATCAGAGCAGCTGTGAAGCATCCTGCTGGAGAAACCCAACCTCAGACAAGACGCCAACAGCAAGACTGGCTGAGACGAGGACGCTGGGAAAGGGCCAGGCCAGTCTTCCTAAGGACTATTGATCGCTTCTCATGAGTCCCACACCCCTGACCCCTCTCCCAGGACATGGCTCTGAAAACCTGTCTCCTCTCTTTCTCTCTTCTCATTATTTTAAACTGATATATAGCATAGCCAGAAAGCGCACACACCATGAATTCTCCTAAAATGGGCATTGGCACAAACACCACCATTGAGAAATAAAACACTTCCAGTCCATTCACGGCCCTCCTTATGCCTCTCTCTGCCATCACCTCCCTTCCCCCAAGGCAGCCACTATCCTCATGTCAAACAACACGGATTAGTTTTGCATATTTTATTTTATTTGTAAAGATTTTTAAAATAGATTTTTTTTTTATGCTCACCTGAGGACATTTTTCCATTTTTTTTTTTGTTCAGGTAGAGTGGGAGGGAGGGAGAGGAAGAGAGAGAGAGAGAGAAGCATCGATGTGAAAGGGACACATCGAGTGGCTGCCACCCGCACGACCAACCAGGGCCGGGGACAAACTGCAACCGAGGTACATGCCCTTAGTGGGAACTGAACCCAGGTTTCTCTGGACCTCAGGCCGATGCTCTAACCACTGAGCAAAACTGGCCAGGGCTAAAATTTATTTTTAGAGAGGAAGGGTGAGGGAGAAAGAGAGAAACATTGACGTGAGAGCCAAACATCAGTGGTCTGCCTCTTGCATGCCCCTGACGGGGGTGTGGAGCTGGAAACCGGGCATGTGCCCTGAGCAGGAATCGAACTGACAACTCTGTGGTGCATGGGACGATGCCCAACCAACTGCGCCACACAGGCCAGGGCTAGTTTTGAATATTTTAAAATATAAAATAAGTGGAATTATAGTGCCTCCTGTTTGTCTTTCTGTCTGGGCCCAAATGTGTTTATGAGCTTCATCCCTATTGGTGTAGATGGTACTAATTCGTTCATCTTTGCAGAGTGATATTCCACTGAATGACTGTGTCATAATTCACCCATCTTTCTGTTTCTGGAGATTGGTTTTCCCTCCCAGGTATTGGCTGTTACGGAAAAGGTTGTGTGATCACATATGCAGTCGATCGTCACTGTTTGTGGATTCTGTTGTTGGGAGTTGCCTGCTCACTAGGATTTGTGTGTAACCCCCAAGTCAGCACCTGCAGAGGTCTCCTTGCCATTCATGGATGTGTGCAGTGGCTAAAATTGTCACCTGATGTGCCTGTTCTCAGCTGAAGTCGAACGAGGCGAGGCCCTGCCTTCTTGCAATAGTTCTCACCCTGTAAACAAGTGCCCTTTTGCTATCTATGTGCCGTGGTTTGTGGGGTGTTTTGCATTGTAATGCTTTTTATTCTTGGTGATTTTGTGACTTAAAATCTCCCAGACGTAGTGCGGAAGTGCTGTCTTGCTCCTAAGTGCAAGAGGCGGCGACGTGCCACGTGGAGGAGGAACGTGCGTGTTAGAGACGCTGGTTCAGGCGCGAGCATGGCCCTGTGGCCATGAACTCCGTGTTAATGACTCAGCAATATACACGATTCTGGTGTCTTTAAACAGAACACACATAAAACAGGCTGGATGTTGATGGGTTGATGAAATGTTGTGACCAGGGCCTCGAGGAGATCCTGTATTCTCCTTGGGAGCAATTGTTCAGTATTTGGTCATCCAGGGCTCGTGGTGACTTTTAGACACAACCATCGTGAATAAGGAGAACTGACTATATGTGCATGTCACCGAGTGTATACCTAGGAGTCGCGTTGCTGCATCATAGGATTGACATATTTTTGACGTTAGTACAATTGTCAGAGATTTCAAAGACATTTTAGTTCATGCTATCAGCGAGATATGAGAGCACTAGTAGCTTTGCATCTTTTCCAACACTTGGTATGTTAGGCTTTTGATTTTAGTCATCTTGTAGATGTGCCCACCACTGTGGCTTAACATTCATTTTCGTGATGACTAAAGGTGTTGGGCACCTTTTCATAAGTTACTTATTGGCCAACTTAGATGCCCCTTTTGTGAAATGCCTACGCAAGTCTTTCTCCTTTTTAAAAATTGGGTTTTCTGTCTCACTGATTTAGAGGAGTCCTGTCTATATTCTGGGATCAGTCCTTTGTTGGTTACATGTATGACAAACAACTTCTCCCACTTTGTGGCTTAGCATTTTACTCCTCGGTGGTGGTTTTTGATGAGTATACATTTTTACTATTAATGAAATCAAATTTATAATTTGTTTCCTTTATAGTTTAGTACTTTTTATTTCCTAAGAGATCTTTGCACATTGCAGAGTCTAAAGATATTACCCTGTTTATCTTCGGGACGTTTTATCTTTCATATTTTGTTCTACAATCCCCCTGAAACTAATATTTGTGTAGTGTGAGCCAGTAATCATGATTTTATCTTTTTCCTGCAGTGGTATCCAGTTGACATGGTACATATGTTGAAAAGACTGTCAGTTCCCACTACATTTTATTTCTCATAATGCTTTCATGACGTATTATTTCCATTTCTTTCCTTGTAACCCGTTTGTATCCATATATTTAATATATGTCTGTTATAAGCGACATATAGTTGATTTTGATGTTTTTATTCTAGTCTAAGATTTTTGCTCTTTACAGTATTTATGTATAGTTAACATAATTCCTAATATATTTGGATATAAATATTTCTATTTTACGGTTTTCCCAGTCTGTGTTTATTCCCACTTTTTTATGCCTTTCATTAAAGCAATACTTAAGTATTTTTATTTTATTTTATTTTTTAAAATATATTTTTATTGATTTTTTTAGCGAGAGGAATGGAGAGATAAAAACATCAGTGAGAGAGAGAAACATTGATTGGTTACTGCCTGCACACCCCCTACTGGGGATTGAGCCTGCAGTCCTGGGTATGTGCCCTGACTGGGAATTGAACCGGGACCTCTCAGTCCATGGGACAACGCTCAGTCCACTGAGCTACATTGGCTGGGCAATACTTAGCATTTTTAATTTAAAAACAATTTCCCTCATATTAGCTTGTCAGTTATATAGTCTTTTAAAATATTTTTTCTTTATTGATTTTAGAGAGAGAGGAAGGCAGAGGGAGAGAGAGAGAGAAACATCAGTGAGAGAGAACATCGACTAGACACCTCCTGCATGCCCCCTACTAGGGATTGGGCCCCCAACCTGGGCATGTGCCCTGACTGGGAATCGAACTGGCCCCCTCTTGGTGCATGGGTCAGCGCTCAACCAGTGAGCCACACTGGCTGGGCTATACAGTCTTTTAAGGAACATCTCTGTTTTTTGACTACCATAAAGGTTCAGTATAAGTCTAATTTTTTGAAAGTCTAATCTAACTTAGTACTTCTGCTGCTTTCTGGACAACACAAGGACCTGGGACTGTTTTAATTCTCTTCTTTCCTTCCTTCCCTTTGTCCCGATTGTCATAATTCTGTATACATTTTAGACTACCAAAGAAATGATCATTCCTGTTATTTTTATGCATCGATCTTCCCTTAGGTTTACCCACATACTTACTCTTCCCATTGTTCCCATCTCAGCCTGCGGCTGGAATCTTCTATATGGATGCACTGCCAAGGAATTCTTGTAGTTTTCACTCATCTATCTTTATTTTTACTTTAGAAGGAAATGAAAAGTAATTGTATAATTTACAGATTAGCAGTCATTTTCTTTCAGCATTTTAAAGATGTTTTATCTATGCCACCCATATTATTGTTCCTTCAAAGTAAATGTCTTTTTTCTTCTGGCTGCCTTTAGGAGTTGTGATCTGTCTTTGATGTTGAGCAGTTTCACTGTGACAGACCTCGGTGTGTTTTTTTCCTTTGAATTTTTCTGCCTTGAGATTGCAATGCTTCCTGGACATGTAGTTTGATTTCCCTTGTCAACATTTGAAAATTCTTAACTAATATCTCCCCTAATATTGTTTGTCTCATTCTTTATTTTTCGTTCTGAGTTCATTATTATAGACACAGGCTTTAAAATAATGATGATAAAAATGTTCAAGAAGATGGAGGATATGATGGATAAGTTAAGCAGAAAATTGAAATATGTAAAAGAATATACAAAATTATAGAACTGAAAAATAAAGTAAAATTTAGAACATAGTCGATAAATTGAATAGCAGATTAGACACAGTAGAGGAAAGGATTATTAAATGGAAGATAGATGTATTGAAAATATCCAGCATGAAGCTGAATAGATGGAAGAAAAAAAATACATATTTTCACTTAAAATCCAAGATTTTTGTCTTACCATGGAAAATCAAATTTTTCCTTACTCATAGGTTTAATTGGCTTGAGCTGATGAATGGCTCCCAGTAAAGAGATAAGTCTTTCCTAGTAGCTGGAGTCTACTCCTCTCTGTTGCTTTCTGCCACTGAGGCTGGATATCTGTTGTCATGGTTTATATTACCCCTGCACTGCTTCATTCATTCACATTACCTGGGTGATTGTGTGTTGATAGAATAGTGGGGGAGGCACAATCTAGGCAGATGAAACAATACATTAAAAAGTACTTAGCCAGGGAGGGTTGGGCAGGTCTGGGGACTCAAGGAAAGTAAGCAGGGCTGAAGCAGACGTGAGCAGGGGCTGTTTTGTATTGAGCCTCTGGGAGTCTGGAAAAATACATAGGATCTTGGATGCCTTTGCAGACCAAGTAGCTAGGAAGGTCTTATACTTGATGCTATACCAATTTGGCTCCTCTGAAATTTCTGGTCGAAATAATCCATCACCATGTAAAATGCAGTTGATAACTGGAGGATGACTAGCTAACTTTAGCCACGTGAACAAACCATTGACCTGGGATGATGAAACATCACTGAATTGACGTTTATGCCTTTGTTTCCCTTTTGTCTTAGCTGTAAGTGTCCGCTGCTTGGAAAAGTGTGGGCAGCTGACTTGGAGGCTTGTCAGCTGCTTATCCAGAGCCTGCAGCTCCAGGAGGCGAGGAGCAGCCTGTCTGCAGATGATGAGAAGCAGGTGGATGACTTGGGGGGCGCTGCCTGTACAACTGCTCCAGGTGTCTCCCCCAGACCCCATTGTGAAGATGAGAGGAGGACCCCTTTGCAGGCATTTGAAGAGTGGAAGGTTCACCTGGCTCCCTCTCCGCACTGTTCTGGCAGCGAACAGAAAGAGGTCTGTCCATCCCCCTAGCCTCAGCAGGGCTCCACTCTGAGGGGTGCTTTGCGACCACACCCAAATGACAGCAGTAAATATTGGGAGGGCTTCCCACAGAACCACACAAACTTTGTAAAGTTTCAATAACTCTTGAATATGATTATAAAATAATGTAGAATTTCGAAGACATTTAAAATATAGAACAAAAGAAAAACTTTTGGCATATTTAGTCCTATTTTATTTTACTTTTATGGCCACAGGTAGAATATATAGTCTAATATATAATTACTATATGTAACATATACTATATGTGTCATATGTGACATATAGCTATTATATGTACTGTATGTGTTATATTTAATTACGTCTTTAGAATCTATGTCTTACAACATATCATTTTTTATGAGAGTCAAACATTCACATATTTGTATATACCCCAGTAATTGTTTTTCGCAAAACAGGGATTATAATGGATATTGGTAATCTGCTTTATTCATTTAAAAAAATTCTAATACTTACTTGGCTTATGACTGTGTATTTCTATATATATATAATATATATTATTATATATATATAATTAAATTGTGGATTTATTTAACATTTTACCCCAAGGCTGACCGGGATTAACAGAGAAGAGCTTGCAACCCTCCCCTCCCTCCCCTCCCTCCCCCCTCTCCCTCCCCTCCCTCCCCCCTCTCCCTCCCCCCTCCCCCCTCTCCCTCCCCCCTCCCCCTCCCTCCTCCCCCTCCCTCCTCTCTTCTCCCTCCTTTCCCTCCCCCTCCCTGTCACTCCACTGCCCTCCCTGGTTCATCTGTCCCCTCCCCCTCACTTTCCCCTCTAACCCTAACAATATTCCTTTGATGAAAAGGGATCCAGGAATTTTTTCCAATTTCAGTGCCCTGACAGGAGGTGTTGGAGCTCTTTTTTCTGGCCAGGTTCCCAGGTGTTCTGAATATTAAAAGGAAATTAAAGCGTGGTGAAGCTGGAGGGACGTGTCACTTCATGTTTACGCCTCTCATTTGATGCTGGATGGGCCTCTCACTGGGTCTTTTCCGTGACTCACTGTGCAGTGGGGAGAGCGCGCCCCGCCCCCGCGGGCCTCCGGTCCCGCGTGCAGGCCCCGGCCTCTGTGAGCAGCCGCTCCAGCGGCCTCTGGACTGCTGGGAAAGCCCACACTGACCATCTACTTGAACTGAATAACTTACGAGAAAGACGGCTGTTGTCCCTCCGCGGTCCCGCTGGCCTCAGAGTCGGACTCTGAGCTGAGCTCCAGATAATCTCAGCCTTTGTGGGCCAGGCCTGCAGGTGGGCCCTCCCTGCAAGCCCGGCCGCCAGAGCCCTCGGTAGTTGCTGAAACTTTGCCATCTGTTGCAGTTGGCCGGCTGGAAAGCATATTCTGGTGTGGAGGGAGCAGGGGGAGGGGAGCCCTGGGTGGAAGGAACTGTGGGCCCTGGGGCTGAGGCTTTGAAGGCAGACTGACTCTCTAAAGTGGGCTCCCAGGGGTTCTGTGCCAGGACAGGCAGGGGCCAGGCCAGGTGCGTGAGGGGGACTGTTGGGACCTTGGCCTCTCTGGAGGTCAGCATTGGTTAAGCAGATTTGACCTTGTGGAAGGAGTTCCCTCCCTCCCTCCCTCCCTCCCTCCCTCCCTCCCTCCCTTCCTTCCTTCCTTCCTTCCTTCCTTCCTTCCTTCCTTCCTTCCTCCCTCCCTCCCTCCTCTGTTCCTTCCCCCTTCCTTTCTCATGTGTCCCTCCAGGCTCTCTGGTAGATAACTTCCCCAGGTATAGGATGATTATTCTTCCCCCACAAGATTATTCACACCTGCCAATCTGGCTATAAGAAAACAGAGCTAGTTTTGCCTAAAAGAAGGACATTCAGAGTCAAGGAGAATAAACAGTAGAGCCTTGTCTTGAGGTTTCTGGTGAGGAGGAGGCCCTGATGGCTGCTTCTCAGAGCCCCGGGACCTCCCCCGCCCCTCAGCTCCTCTGCACCACGTGAATGCTGGGCACTTTCTGTAGGTTTTGCTATTTTCTTGGGGGCAGAGAGGGCAGAGGGAACCGGAAAGCTTTTGCTGGCTTTCAGAGCCTTCGCCCGCCCTGTGCCCTGCCTGCCCCCGTGCTCTCCTGGGCTTACGTTCCGAGAGGTGGCATCCTTCGTATGTGTGAGTGGCGAGGATGTTAACATGGCAGCTATTTCCTGGGCAGGGCAAAATATGGGAACAGAAAACAGATCAGTTGTTGCCAGGAACTGGTGCTGGGGGAGGGAATTTGGAACACGTGTGATGGAACTGTTCTGTACCTTGACTGTCCATGGATCTAAACCTGTAACTTTACATCAGTCTAATATACTGCATATAACTTCAAAGAAGTGACTGAAATCTTTAAAATAACATCTGTCTATTTAAAAGCAAGGCGGTGGCCCTGGCCTGTGTCGCTCAGTGGGTGGAGCCTCGGCCCATGCACCGAAGGTTCGATTCCTGTCAAGGGCACGTCTCTGGGTTGCAGGTTCAATCCCAGGCCCTGGTTGGGGTTATGAGGGAGGCAACAGATCAATGTGTCTCTCTCATATAGATGTTTGTTTGTTTTTTCTCTCTCTCCTTTTCTCCCTCCCTGCCACTCTCTAAAAATCAATGGAAAAAACATCTTGGGTGAGGATTAACAACAGGAACAAAGCAAGGCTGTGGATTCTGAGTCGGTGGCACTTTGCCCAGGGCTCTCAGAAGACAGTAAAACACCTGGACGGAGCCCAGGTGCCGGGGCCACACAGCAGCTGCATTTCCTCGGCTGCTAAAGACACCGGAAAACAAACCAAATATGAGGATAATGAAAACGATCTCATATTGCATCTAAACCGGAGCCACACACAGGCTAGAAGGTGAAAAGATGTTCTGTTAAACTGTGCTTATCACTTTCTGGCCGTCACAAATATCTCTAAGACCGTTTTAAAATTAAACGTCCTGGCTCCTTGGTCGGGAAGCAGGAATGGGCAATTCAGTGGTGGAAGGGAGCTGAGAAAACAGGTTTAATAAAGGAAACATCTTGTTTGTATCTGGACGGAGGATTTTACGCCACCGAAGGCACAGAGAAACGACAACCACGGGGGTTGCTAGGAAGGGATTTGGTTTCCCTGCCTGGGTTCGGTAGGGAGTCGCTGAAGGCTGGGTACTTGCGTGCTTAGCCTGTGGAGCAAGTGTCTGTTTGCTTTGCCGCTCCGAGTTGGTTTTGCTGTGGAATCCCCGCTGGGTCTGGCGGTCCCACACAGCTTTCTCTATTGAAGCAAGATGCCCTGAAGGCAGTCAATTTCTTTTGAACCCAAATCTTCCATGAAAAATTGCTGACTTACAGAGGTCCCCAGGGAGATGGATTGCTGAAGCCTTCCCTGTGCTTATCTGGCCCACGTGGTTCATTTTGCTTGCACTTTGTTGGAACAAGTGTTTTGTCATTCATCAAAGTTTCCTCTGTGTTTCTGGTCCTGCCAGGCTGCTTGGCACCATTTCCCCCATTTTACAGCTGGGCACACTGAGGCAGTCATTTGCTTTGGGCTTGGTGATGGAGGAAATCAGCCAAGGGCCAGTCTTAGCAGGGCCTCCTCGATTGTTAGAGCCCCCTCTTTCTCGGTTTCATTGAAGCTCACTTGCAGCCTTTCCTGGCTTCTGGAAGCAACCAGCAGCCGTGGGCCCTGGCTGACAGACGTTACAGACTGCACGGGGCCAGCTTCCTCCGCTGTGAAGTTGCTCTTTTGTGCTGGAAGCTGCGGCCATAATACCTGCGTCATCCTTTCCTTCCTGTCTGCAGCCCGCCTGCTGGGGTGCTTTCTGCTTGCACTACAGAGTGGGCTCCCTTCCACGGAGTTCCCTGGACAGCATCACTCTGCTCTGACTGGTCACCCAGCTGCCCCCTTTCCCAGTCATACTGCCACCGAAGAGGCTGAAAGAGGCCAAACTAGGTGCGGCCATGTGGAACCATCCCTGGGGTATCTGAGCAGCCAGTGTGGGAAGATGTCTGTAATGAAAAGAATTAGCAGCAAGACACAACCAGGCAGTGTCTCTTTCTTTCATTATATCACGTAGGTCTCCACAAATCGTTGTCGGTGTCTAGGCGTCTGTGGTGAAGACGTGTGTCACCGTCTGAGCCTGATTTCTCATCCCAGAAACGCCTGTGCTGGTCCGAAGGCAGGTGCAGCCTTGCTGCTTCTCTTCCCCACGCCCTGCTCACTTCAGCGCTCACGGCTCCGCTCCACCCGCGAGGGGGGGTAATAAGAGCGGGTCCTGAGCCACACGATGTGCGAGTTCGAGAGACAGGGGAAGTGCCCCCTTACCTATCCGCTGCGTTTATCAAATGCCTTTGGGGAGAAAGCAGAGGGCCCAGGCAAGAGGAGAAGTTCTACCTTCCTGCAATTTAGAGTTTTGTGGGCAAACCCAACTGTATTGCAAGCACAAGAGTAAACCAGCAGAAGCAATCAGGATGCAGCCAGGATTGGTAATTGGTTGATTAATTAAAAAACCAGAGAATCACAGAAAATGATACATGTGCATTTTAAACTTCTTAAGACTGAAGACACACGATTGTTTACTAATCATTTGCTATAGGACCGGGGCTCTTGGTTCGCAGAGGTGCGCTGGCCTCCGCAGGCCCTCCTGCCAGACTCGGCAATGGTGTGTCTCGTATGATTTCCAGTTCAGTTTCTTTAGGAGGACTGGACTTTTATTTATTTATTTATTTTAGATAGAGTGGGAGGGAGAGAGAGGAAGAGAGAGAGAAACATCAACATAAAAGGGACACATCGAGTGACCGCCTCCCGCACGACCCAACCAGGGCCAGGGACAAACTGCAACAGAGGTACATGCCCTTAGTGGGAACCGAACCCGGGTCTCTCTGGACTGCAGGCCGACGCTCTAACCGCTGGGCCACACTGGCCAGGGCAGGACTGGACTTTTTAAGAGCACTTTCAAAGCAATCCTCTCTCTCTTTCTGTTCCTCTCTTAAGTTTTTCCAAAGCGTTCAATGTAGTTTATGTGGAGA